GGGGGGGGGGAATGGGGACAAGGACACAGCCCCCTGGACCTTCCTGACCCCCAGTTCCTGCTGCTAGATGGCCCACACCCCCCAGACCTTGCCCACTTGGACTGGGCACCCCTCTCTGCCCCCAGTGATCAGGCACAGTGCACAGGAAAGGGGAAATGTCTGCTTAAGACCCCCCTCCCCACATCCATACGAAGCCAAGAACAGTAGATGCTCATTTATGTAAAATTAATAATAATAACAATAATAATGGTTGCCCAAAACTGTTAGAATAAAAAAATAAGTTTTTGAGGGGGGAAGGGTCCCCGCACCGGTGGGTGGGGGCGGGGCGAGCACCAGGGGTCGCAGGGCGGGGCCCGCGGCAGCGCTGAGGTCAGGGTGGCAGTCAGTGTGTCCTAGAGGGGTCAGTGCATCCTGGCAACGTCGGTTCATCCTGATAGTATGGCCAGTCGTCCTGGGGTGTCCTTCAGTGTGTTCTTGAGGTGCTCAGTGGGTCCTGGCGTGGCTGTTGCTTCCTGGCGGTAGTCAGGAGGTTCTGGTGGTGGTGGGTATGTCCTGGGGCAGTCAGTGCGTCCTGGCGGCGGTCCGTGGGTCCTCGCACTGGTGTGTCCTGGGGCTGTCAGTATGTTCTAGCGCTGGTCAGTGCATCCTGGGGCAGTCAGTGCGTCCTCTCGGGTCAGTGTGTCCTGGCGCCATCAGTGCACCCTCGCGGTAGTCAGTATGTCCTAATGGTCAGTCAGTGCGTCCTGGCGGTTGGTCGGTGTGTCCTGGCCTGGTCAGCGGCGGGTGGCGCGCTGGCGGCCGCGGGCGCCGTAGCTGGGCACTGGGCAGGTACGGCAGCACTGGGCACGGATGCTGGGCAGTGCACAGCGGCCAAGCAGGCGCAGGGTCTCGCAGAAACCGAATGACAGGCGATCATGATCACAGCCTGGTGGCGGAGGAACAGGGGTCAGAAAGCTGGGAAGGTGGCTCAGTGGTAGAGTGCTTGCCTTGCATGCATGAGGCCCTGGGTTCGAGTCCTCAGCACCACATAAGCAAAAAAAGCCAGAAGTAGGGCTGTGGCTCAAGTGGTAGTGCTAGCCTTGAGCTGAAGAGCTGAGGGACAGTACCCAGGCCCAGAGCTCAGGCCCCACGATCGACAAAAAAAAAAAGGGGGGAACCCTCAGATAAAGGATCCCTTGGATTTCTATTCATGATGTCTTCCCTGCCCGGCCAGCCTGGGGGTGACGGGTGGGTCCCACAGCTTCCTGCTGGGTTCCCTGTCTCCCACCTCCCACCTCATCTCTTGACACAAAGGACTTCAGACTCCCAACCTTGATGGGCCATGAGGAAAAGGGAGGGGCCTGTTGAACCTGACTCAAAACTGAGTGCTGCCTAGAATCCCCCTTCACCTTGGGGGCCAGCTCAGCCTCTGCTTCTGGGTCACAGGCCAGAGCCCAGCCCCATCGGCCAGGCCAATCTCCCTGCCTCATTTTATTACCTATTTATGTGCCAGTCATGGGGCTACAGCTCAGAGCCTGGGTGCTGCCCCTGAGTTTTGTTTTTTTTTTTTTTAAGTGCCTTGAGCGCTATTGCATCTTTTTGCCGATTCATGGCAGATAAGAGTCTCACAGATTTATCTTCCTGATTTTGGCTTTGAACCATGATCCTCAAATAGCCTTCTCAGTAGCTGGGATTATAGGAGTTGAGCAATTATAATTGCCCAGCAAACCTCCCTACTTCTCATCTGGGCAGTAAAGCCCCAGGAGTGGGTCATGACCAGGGCCACCCAGGCCACTGGGGCCCCAGAGACTGAGTGTGGCCCACCTGGAGAGGAAAAGGCTACAGGCAGTCCCACACAAGCTGAGGCTCTTCTGCCTTCTGCCTGGTCATTATTAGAGCTATTTTGGGAGATGACTTTGTTCCCAGCCCCCTGGCCTCGTTCCCAGCCCTGCTGCTACTGCTGATGTGCCGCTGTGGCTTCCGGGCCTGCTCACTCCAATAGATCCCCAGGGGAAGGGGGAGCCAGCCCTGCATCTGGGGAAATCCTTTGGCCTGGCAGAGGGCATGGAGCAGCAGGCAGCCTCTGCCACCCTGGGTGGAAGCCGAGGATCCAGACTCTAACCTCTCAGGCCACGCCCAGTTCCCTCCAGCAGTGACCACACACACACACACACACACACTCACACACACACGGGAAGTGTGGATACAACCGGACATGTCAGCTGCCTTGGCCTCAGTGATCAACATGTTCTGGATTTTCCAGAATTTCCAAATATCCTGACACGCTGTTCTACACATCATCCAAAAACATCCTGGCCAGTAGCTCACCCCTATCACCTCAGGAGGCTGAGATCTGGAGGATCACAGTTCATAGCCAGCCCACTCAGGAAAAGTATGTGATTCTTATCTCCAATGAAGCAGCAAAAAACAGGAAGCGGTAGAGTGTCTCAAGTGAAAGCACCAGCTTTGAGTGAAAAAGCCAAGCAAGAGAGTAAGGCCCTGAATTGAAGCCCCAGGACTGTAACACACTTTAAAAAAAAAATCCTGAGAATTCTAGGGTCTCAGGGCACCAGATTCCACTGTGTGCCAGTACCTAGTGTGGTCACGCCAGGAGGCATTGTATTTCTGGGGCAGATGCAAAGGTTAGACTAGAGCAGCACAACAAGGTGCAGGTAGCTGGCCGTCGCGGGACTCTGAGGTGACAGGATTTGAACCATGAGGGCTATCTCTGGAGGACGGCTGGCGTGGGGGGGAGGGGGAGCAGATCTGGGCAGGAACTAGCCTGGTAGCCGTGGATGGAGGGGACAGAAACAGCTCTTCACATACAATGCTGCCAGGCCACTGGGTTTCCTCAACTGGCACAGGTGACCCTGAGCTCTGACTACAGTGGAGAATGACAGGCACCACCAGGCAAGAGCCACAGCTCCTTCCCTGAGCAAGCCCCAGTACCAGCCAGTGCCAGGCTCCTCACCACAACTCACTGGAAAGATTGTTGGGTTTTGTTTTTGATATTTTTGTGTGCCAGTCTTGGTGCTTGAACTCTGAGCTTGGGCGCTGTCCTTGGGCTTTTTTTGCTTAAGGCTAGTGCTCTACCCCTTGAGTCACAGCTCCACTTCTGGCTTATTTTGGTAATTTATTGGAGCTAGGTCTCACAGGGCTGGGAAGGTGGCTCAGTGGTAGAGTGCTGGCCTGGCACGCATGAAGCCCTGGGTTCGATTCCTCAGTACCAGCGCCAGAAGTGGCGCTGTGGCTGAAGTGTAGAGGGCTAGCCTTGAGCAAAAGCAGCTCAGGGACAGCGCCAGGCCCTGATCTCAAGCCCCACAACTGGCAAAAAAGACAACAACAAAAAGGTCTCATGAACTTCCTGCCGGGGCTGGCTCTGAACTGCGATCCTCAGATCTCAGCCTCCGGCGAAGCCGGGATCACAGGATGGGGTTTGGGGAGCGTGTAGGTGTGCGCGTGTGGGACCTGAACTCAGGGCCGGACGCTCCCCCTTGGCTCCCCACATGACTCCGCTCCTGGGACGGGCCGGGCCGGTGCCTGCCGTGAGCGATTGCAGGCCCAGAGCCGGAAACGGCCCAAGGCCACAGCTGGAAAAGATGCCCAGGTGCGGCCTCGGCCGGCAGGAAAGACGCGGGAAACAGGACGGGCCCGGCGTCGCCTCGGCCCCGCCCCCGCCAGGCCGCGCGGTGACGTCACCGCACCGCCTCGGCCCCGCCCTGCCGGTGACGTCACCCACGCCGCCGCCGCGGCCTCAAAGCACGCGAGGCCCCGCCCCCGCCGCGCCCCGCCCCCCGCACTCACGTGGGAGCTCCCCCGCGTCACAGTCCTCCGTGCCGCAGGGCCGCGAGCTCTCGGGCCAGGGCTCGTGGCTGCAGAGCTCGCCGTCCTCCTCCCGCAGTCCCGTGCGCGTGTTCACGCACCGGACCAGCCGCCGCTGCGCGCCGCCGCCGCAGGGAGCCGAGC